GGCTTCCACGTTCAGAGGGAGGCCAGCTGGCGAGAGCCAACAGTCACTTGGTTTTGCTAAGTGACTGGGGGGCCCAAGGCCTCCCCCAGGTCTGATGACCCGTTAGGAGGACTCATGGCTCTGATCTGTGGCCCAGCAGAGTCAGCAGAGGTGCGTGGGGAGGAGTCCAGGGGACCAGGCCCCTCAGAGACCCGGCTCCCCGGGACCTCACGGGGCTGATGATGTGGTCGTGGTGGTTCCCGCCCTGGCACACAGCCAAATCCAGAGCCCGGGGGGAAGCTGGTGTCTGACAGCGCTCTGTGCACAAAGGGCTGAGGCGCCGGAGCCCCTGACTGCCGGCGAGGGGAACCCTCCCGAAGCCCAGGTTCTCGGGTGCAGGTCAGGGCAGCCTCCCGAGGAGGGGCCCGCCCGCCGGCCGGGGCGCCCAGCTGTGCTGGGTCCTCTTACGGACGCTGGCGAAGGACAAGTTGTTTTATCTGCGCCGTTCTTGCAGAGTCCGAAGGTGGCTGGCCCTCCTAGTGCAGCTGGGTGTCCACACGAGGCTCCCCTGACGTAGAGCTGGCTGACTTAATCATTTATCGAGGACTTTGTGCTGGCTTGTATTTGAGGCTCAGGAAATGTAACGCTGAGCGAGACCGATCTCATCTCTGCAACTGCAGTGTTGAACTAAAGCACTTCTTTCTTCTCTCAGGGAGGGACGGATTTAGGTCTGTCTATTTAGTTGTTTTTAATGGCGGGGCTGGGGATTGAACCCAGGGCCTCGCTCGTGCCTGCTGGGCTGCCCTCTGCCGCTGCGCTGTGCCCTCCCCCAGCGATTTCTTTCTTTTCAAAGGGCTGTATTAGAGCCGGCCGGCCACATACCTTTCCTAGACACGCGTCTGCACACACTCTAACTGAACTCACCGTGAACTAGAACAGCCACTGTTCCTACTCCGCCATTTGTTTAAGAGATGTTTACTGAATACCCACTATCTGGACAAAAGAAGCCTTGTACGCGGTTATGGTGAGAGTGTATATTCTCACTCTGCCGCTTCTTAGTTTGACGCCTTCCACAGATTCTCTGCCTCCTCCTGAGTGTCTCGTCTGTGAAGTAGGGCATCACGTCCTGCACAGGCTGGGGACGAGGACGAACGGGCGGGTGCCCGTGGGGCCCAGGGCCCACGGTTACAGAGGGTCCAGGCGACGCCCATGTCATTGTTACCTTAAAAGTTGCCCTGAAATTCTGGGTGTACAGTCGGGCAGATGAGAAGCAAGGGCCACGTTGTATAAGCTGTTCAGGGTCAGCTCACGTGGGGCTGTGCGTGTCACCGAGTGTCGTATGTAAACGTTAAAAAGGGCCTAATAAAAAGACTCCTGCTGTGATTTAAATCATCTCTAAAAAGACCAGGTTCTGAGATACTGACACACGAGTGGTCTGTGGTCCTTTCTGAACTGGGGCCCCTTGGAGAATCAAAGCTGAGAATCCTCCTCGGTCTGGAGACTTGACCTGGGGGCCGCTGTGTGGCGGGAGGGGGGTCCCAGGGCGGGAGGGCCCCGTCTGAGCTCTCGGCCGCCCGCTGTATTCCTCTGGGCTGCCTCGGCTTCGCCATGTGACACCCTTGGGTTTGACTGTAGGCGCAGAATCCGCATTTGCTGTGACGAGTTGAACCTTTTGGTCCCGTTCTGCAACGCCGAGACGGACAAGGCCACGACTCTGCAGTGGACCACGGCATTCCTGAAGTACATTCAGGAAAGACACGGAGATTCTCTGAAAAAGGTCAGTGTTCGGGCCACGTAGATTTTCAGAGTCTGAAAGCCTATCAGTGTTGCTTTTGTCCTTTCCCCCCTGAGATCCCCCAAACTGCCCTGTGTCCCCTGGAACCTCACGTCAGAGCTGAGTCCGCTGTGAGCCAGGTCTGCTCCTCGTGCTGCGCCTCGGACTCACCGGGGCGCCAGCCGCAGCCTGGCTCTGCTCACTGACCGCCGAGTGTGAAGGCCGAAGCTGTCAGGGGACAGGTGAGGCACCTGCTGTAAGTAGTGGGTTGTCCTGGGGCTTGAAGAGACCTGTAGGGTGTGGGTTTCTTGCCCTCAGAAAATTTTGTGAAAGGGCTAAAGCATGAATAGAAAAAAAAAGAGGCAGGTGAATGTCAAAGAAATAGTCTGGACTTCACACGTGTTCAGAAGGCAGAGAAGAGCGTGTGCAGACTGGGCGACTGGGGCCGGGCCCGCGCTCCTCGGTTCCTTAGCACAGCTGCCTGCTTGACCCCACTGTCTGGTCCGGGGCGTGGTTCCTGGGAGCCAGGCTGGCTCCCGGTGGGACCGGACGCTCGGTGTGAGCGAGAGTCCAGTCGTCCCCTCCCTAGGGCTCAGAGGCGAGAGCAGAGGCCTTCCCAGCACCGGCTCCTGTGCTCGGCCTTGGGGGTCCCTCGGCTCCAGGTCCCGGCCTCCGGGTTCGGGTGGTCAGGATGAGCAGTGGTGAGGCCTTAGTTAAGAGGGTCTGATTTTGTCCCTCGTCCGAGCTGTCGTGCAGTCGCTGCTGTTGGCCGCAGCTCGAGTCTGATCAGAGCCCCGAGCTGGCGTTGGCAGAGTAAGCCTGGAACCGCTTTAGAAAGAGCCTCCTGTGTCTGGAACCTGTGCCCGGCCCTCCCGGGCTGAGGGCTGAGGGTCCGTCTTCTGGTCCCTTTTCTGGGCCCATGTGTGTTTCCATCTTGTGAGTGACACAGTTTCACTGAGTCCCTGGCTTTCATTGTCCATTTTATTGCGTTTTAAAGCAATACCTGTGTCAGACTGGTTCTCATTGGATCATTTACGGTGATGTATAATGTGGTTACTCTTGAACGTTCATTTTTAGCGGTAGACTTGGTTTATTTTAATAAAATAAAGCTTTACTATTCAAAAAATGATATAGTGTTTGGCTTTGTGTATCTAGTAGTGGTAAATTACTATTTATGTAATTCATTCAAATGTGTTGAAGGTGTTTCCAACAACTGAAAAACTTAACTGTCTCCGTATAAACCCAAAGATTAAACAGATTAAAAACTTAGGGATACTAATATTTATGTACTATACTTCCTAGATATTTCTGAATTACATTGAATTTATAGATTGTTTCTGGGTCGGGTTCTAGGACCCCCCCGGCAACGGGCTGAGGTGACGTGAGCAGCGGTCCGCCGGAGTGCTGGGGTGTGCGCGGCCTCAGCCCTGTGTGCTTGCTGCTTCCGGAGCCACGGCCCTCTCTTACCTGCCTAAGCAGTTTGGTTCTTAAAGATACGATACACGCAAGTCTTACATGGTTTTCCCAAAATATTTTAGTACACATTTCATCCCGCAGGTCTTTCCGCCTCTGACCAGGCTTCTGTCCCGGACGCTGGGGGCACTTTGGATGAGACAGACCCCGGGGCGGAGGGTGCACAGGCCACCTCCCTCCCGCCATGCGGGTCTGCTTGGCGCTTGCTTGGCGCGTGGCGAGGACCGCTCTCGCTGCTGTGTGGAGACCCGCTCCAGGAGGGAGAGGCTGGGGAGGGGGCAGGAGTGGAGGCGCGGACCCTGGTCAGAGGCTGTGGCCTCTGCTGAGACTGGCCAGGGGCCTACCGGCCAGCGGTACCAGATGTGGAACGTCTGGGAAGAGGAAGTGGGGCCCTGGGGGTTCTGGCTCCGGCATCTGAGTGGATGGTGCTGTTTACAGGGGTGGGGAGGCGTGGGGAGAAACAGGGCGGGCGGAACCCCCCGCCGAGTGACAGGCTAGGTTTTCTTTGGCCTGGAGCCCGGGTGGAGCAGCTCAGGAGGGAGGCCTGCCTGGGCGACTGCGGGCCGTTGTCAGCAAGTGGGTGCTTCCCCCTTCGTGTAATTTTCCTCCTGCACAGAGTCTGTGAGCACCTGTCCAGCCCTCACCTAGTCTCATCCGTTGACAGTGACCGTGTAGAACATGTGCACACACTTCCTGCGCAGTTTCAGAGACGTGACAGACGCCGTGAACCTTCACTCCTGCGTATTCCTGTGTGCACCTCCCACGTAGCCCCGCGGCCCCTTCCGTGCCTCGCAGGGTTGACGGTGGTTCTTGAACTTCATCTAATACCCAGTCCATATTCACGTTCCCCACAAAGTTGACTCTAACGTCTGCTTTTCCGCAAACCAGCACGCAGCCTTGGTCACGCACGGCATTCAGGTATGTTTTTCAGTAACACGCTGTGACAGTCCCACCACCCCGCCCGACAGCTTTTCTTACGGCCGGCCGTGAGACTGAAGGGATCAGGCCAGGTGTCTGTAGAATCTTGGATTTAGATGACTCATCGTATGTAATTATGGTAATTTAAAAATCGTATATAATTTGAACTGGCAGAAAGATTCCAAGGATAGTACCAAGAGCCCCTCGTACCCCCACCCCGCTCTGCGCAAACCTCCAGTTGTGAACGTCTTGCCCCGCTTGCTCCGTCTCAGCAGTCTGAGCCGCTTGCCTGTCACCTGCAGGCACCGTGCCGCTTCGTGCCCGAGCACTTCAGCCTGCGATCGTGAGAGCAGCACGTTATCTTGCAGCGTGCTTACACGGCGGTCAGCATCGGGGCACTTGATGCTGCTGTCATGTTATTACCTCATTCAAGTTTGACATTCAGATTTTGTCTCTTTTCCCAGTAATAGTCTCTGCAGCGTTTTCCCAGTCCAGACCCAACCCAGGATCACTGGTTACATGCAGTTGTTGCCAGGTGACAGTTCAGGGTGGTGACCTTGAGCCCCAGTCCCCCATGCCTCCCCCTCCCTGCCTGTCCCCAGCCCGGCCCCCGGGTGATCAAAGAAGATGGTAGTTTTTAAGAGTTTGTTGAGACGCCTGCTGTGACCTCTGGTGTGGTCAGCGTTCTCAAGTTCTGTGTTTATGTGGAAGGAGTGCGCATCCTTTGGCGAATTCTGTTCATTAGGCGGAGATCACGAGTTGTGATTCAGGCCTTTCCTCTCTGTCTCTTGTCTGTCAGACCCGTTGTTCCGAGACCCCACGTGGCACCTCCCACTGCCGCGGGCCTTGCCGCAGCTGCTCAGGGCTGCCCCAGCGCTGGCTGGGTGTCGGCTGCGCGCGCCTGCGCCTGCACCCGTGCCCGAGGTTTGTGGTCCCTCTCGGTTCTGTTAACCCGCTGCCTGTAATTCTCTCCTCTCTGTCCAGACAATACCAGGCTTCTTCCTCTTCCTAACTTCCTGATTAATTTCTTAACGTGTATTTTTTGACACGTGTAATTTCTTGATAGTCTCTTTCAAAAAAGAACCGTCTTTCTTTTTCCTACTGGAAATGTAATTTTTATTATTGGCATTCTCATATTTACAAATCTAAGGTGAATACCAACTACGGCCAGCCAGCATCTCAAGGTGTTTGATGAGTTGTAAAAATCCCCTAAAAATCGATTATTTTTCTTGGGTCTTATTGAAACAGATGCTGGTTGGGAGAGTAGAGTGACAGAGACCACCTCACCTTGGCACAGCTGAGGGCTGGCGTCCACGTGTCCCCCTCTTCCATGGTCACCCCAAGTCCCTGTGAATTGAGTTCCAGGGACCTCGTGGGAGTCTAGATTGAGCTACAGCTTTTTTGTTGCTGTTCATCGTACTGGGGATTGAACCCAGGACCTTGTGCTTGCTGGGCACGCGCTCCGCCCCTGAGCTCTGCTCCCACCTCCCACGCCACCACTTTGCCCCACCTCTGGCAGAGCCGTTCCAAGTAAAGCCAGGCGTCCAGGGCTGTCCTTCTCATCCGAAGATGGTTTAGAAACTCTCAAAGCACTTTCTTACATCTGAGAAATGAGTTTCTTCTCTCTGGCTTCTACTTAGTTATTCTCAGAGGTAAATTCTGCTTCTCAAATGTAGCCAGATATTTTCTATTTGGGCTTTGGGTGTCAGAATATGGGGAGTGGTCAAACCAGAGTTCATCTTATGTTGCTTGAGACCCACTGAAAACCTTTAATGTTCGGGAGGAAAGTAGTGCATGTTACACACAGGCCCCGCTTCCGAGCAGAGGGCAGGCGGCCCCGGGCGGACGGCGCCTTGAGTGCAGGCAGGGGGAGCGCCCCAGCCTCCCCAGGAGACTCGGAAGTCAGAGCAGAGACGGCAGGGCGCATTTACTGCCCTTCCTGGACTCGAATTGAATAGAAGTCCAGCAACAGAAGGACAGACAACACAATTCAGAAATGAGCAAAGGACCTGAATAGACATTTCTCCAAAGAAGGTAAACAAATGCCCGATAAGCACACGGAAAGATGCTCAGCGTCACTGACGTTCAGACAGCGGACTGTGTTTCGCCATCAAAGGGAGTGAAGTTCCGGCACCTGCTGCACGACGTGGATGCACCTCAAAGCAGGATGCAGGTCGGTCACATCAGCTGCATCATCTGTTGTCTTTTGTTTTGTTGATGGTTCTCCTTTGACTGATGAGGGGTTAATACCTAAAATATATGAACAGCTCATACAACTCAACTTAAAAAAAAACAACCCAATTAAAAACTGGACAAAAGAACTGATAGACATATTTCCAGAGAGGAAGTGCAGCTGGCCGAGAGGCACGGCCACTAGGCATCAGGGAAGAGCAAATCAGAACCACCATGAGGCAGCACCTCGCACCTGTCAGACTGGCCACCATCAAAAGAGCACAAATAACAAATGTTGGCAAGAATGTGGAGAAAAGGGAACCCTCCCACACTGTTGGTGGGAATATAAATTGGTGCAGCCACTGTGCAAAACAGTATGGAGGTTTTTTGAAAAAAATAAAATTGGAACTACCATATGACCCAGCAGTTCCACTTCTGGGTAAATATCTGAAAAAACAAAAACACTAATCAGAAATATACATGCACCCCAGTGTTCATAGCAACATTATTTACAATGGCCAAGACATGGAAGCAACCTAAGTGACCATCAACCGATGACTGGATAAGGAAAAGGTGGCATATATATATATACCACATACGTAGTGGAATATTACTCAGCCATAAAAAAGAACGAAAGTTTGTAAGTCAGGCTGAGAAAGACAAATGCTGTGTGATATCACTTATATGTGGAATCTAAAAGATACAACAAACTAGCGAACATAGCAGAAGCCGCGGGGCGGGTACAGCTCAGTGTGGAGCATGTGCTTCGCTGCATGAGGACCTGGGTTCGGTCCTCACCACCGCCATTAAATAAATAAACAAATAAACCTAATTCCCTCCCCTCCAAAAAACGTCCAAAATAAGATTTTCAAGTAAGCTAAAACAAAACAAAACAAACCCAAAAAACAGAAACAAAAAGTAGACTCAGATACAGAGAATAAACTAGTGGTTAGCAGTGGCAGAGGGCGCCGTGTTGGGGTGCGCGGGCGAGGACAAACTATTGGCTGTAAGACCGGCTCAAGGATGTACTGCACAGCACAGGGAATTGGCCAATACTTTGTAATAACTGCAAATGGAAAATAACCCTTTAAAATTGTATAAAAATAAAAAAAATTTAACTGGAATAATAACAAAGCCCACTTTGCAATGTTAGTGGATAAATACCGAACAACCAAACAGGCAGGATGCTGAGCGAGAAAGGCAGACACGAGAGGACAAGCACTGTGACTCTGCTTACCTGAAGTCCTCGGAGTCCTGAGACTCAGAGTCAGAAAGGAGCACGGTGGGTCCAGCGGCTGGCACGGCAGATGCAGTTAGTCTTCAACGGGGATGGAGTCTGAGTTTGGGAAGATGAAGATGTCCTGGAGACAGATGGTGGTGGTGATTACACAACATCGTGGATGTACCTAAGCCACTGAATTGCACATTTACAAACGAACGATAAAAGTGGCAAATTTTATGTTGTATGTATTTTATCATAAAAAAACACGTAAACCTAGACTTAATTGTGTGAGGCTGCTGTGCTTATAAAAACAACTTACAGAAACGTATGCGCGCACAAAACCAGAGACTGGAATGATGACCTCCTGGGTCCCGTGTCTCACAGCTTCAGGCGTCTCTCTGTTTCATCTCTACCTCCTCACCCTCCCACCATCAGTGAATTATTTTAAAGCACTTCCAGACATCTCATCATCTCCTCATTTCATTCGCACATGAATCTCTAAAAAGAAAAGGGCCATTTAAAAGCACAGCCGCAGCACTGGCATCCTCCTCCTCCATCTCCACCCCTGCCTGGGTTTCTCTTTTGACAGTTGACTTACGTGAATCAGTATCCAAACAGTGTATTTCATTGATAGCTTTAATTTTTTTATTAAAAAAATTTAGGTAGGGAGGTAATTAGGTTTATTTATTTAATGAAAGTACTAGGGATCGAACCCAGGACCTCATGCATGCTAAGCACGTGCTCTGCCCCGGAGCTATACCCTTCCCCCGGTTGATGGCTTTTAAATAGTTTTTAATCTGTATTAGCTCCCCTGTCCTATTTTCCTTGCGATGTATCGACAAGGCTGAATGTTACTGAGCCAAATGTGGGTCCACTTGTCTGCATGCAGCAGAGCCATCACTGACACCTGGTTGTGGTGCAGAAGAGCGCAGTGTGTGTTGCAGGCAGCCAACAAGGAGCCTCGAGTGGCTGTTGCTCAGAAGACTCAAACTCCTCACTGGCACCTGTGATAAACACTGCGCTTGCCTTCACCACAACCTGGTGTCAGTAGATTGACTTTACCGCGCAGGGGCAGGCAGACCCAGGTTCCATTTGGTAACAATTTTTGGCAACCCTGGTGGGACTCCCATCCCATCTAGGCTGCCAGAATTGTTACCAAACTGAACTGGGATCCGCTCGCCTGCGCGCTCTGTTACGTGTCGTGAGCAGTTATGCTCTCTAATAACTTTACATGTATGTTTCTCGAGTAAATTAACATGCTAAATAATCTTAATTAGTCTAATATTTCTTTCTGAGATGCCTCAGGAGCCCTCTGGAAAACTCAGAGTTACCTAGAGAAATAAACTTACAATTTGTTATCAAAAGCAGCTCAACATTCCAGGAAAACTTGGTTCTCTTAATAGAGAAAACCAAGCCCTGTCTTACACCTCCTTTTTTTAATAGCAGAATTCATTTACTTAATTAAATTCAATCTAATCTTGGCTGGTCTTAACCACACACAAGACTCTTTTCTCAAGGTTCCTTTTACACAAACCTTCCAGCACTTTCTGTGTCCATTTTTTTCCCGTCCAGAAACAACCAGCTCTAGGACAAAATCATTCTTTTTTTCCCCTTCACAAAGGTATTTCCATTTTTTATGCCTCCTCTCACAGACAGCATGGGTCCTGCTTGTTTACACTCTGAAATGCTTCCTTTGCTACACTTAGTAGCTTTTTTTTAACTTTTTAAATTGAGTTATAGTCATTTTACAATGTTGTGTCAAATTCCAGTGTAGAGCACAATTTTTCAGTTATACATGAACATATATATATTCATTGTCACATTTTTTTTCTCTGTGAGCTACCACAAGAGCTTGTGTATATTTCCCTGTGCTATACAGTGTAATCTTTCTTATCTATTCTGCATATGCTGGTCAATATCTACAGATTTTGAACTCCCAGTCTGTCCCTTCCCACCCCCCGCCCCCTTGGCAACCACAAGTTTGTATTCTGTGTCTATGAGTCTGTTTCTATTTTGTATTTATG